TTCCTATACATCAATGGAAAGCATGAAATTTTTGAGACTTACTATTAATTATTATGGCTCCATTTGGTTAAGCTTTTGTTTTTGTTTAATGTTTTGAAACATGTGATAATCATTGGCTTTCTGAACTGTACTTTTCATGTATTTCCACCTTATTATTTTCACCCCTTGAATTCCAGATCATAACTGGTTCAGAAGATGGTACAGCACGAATATGGGGTAGGGAAACTACTTCTTTCTTTATACACACACACACACAAACAAACACACACACACACAAACACACACACACACACACACACACACACACACACACACACACACACACACACACACACACACACACACACACACACACACACACACACACACACACACACACACACACACACACACACACACACACACACACACACACACACACACACACACACACACACACACACACACACACACACACACACACACACACACACACACACACACACACACACACACACACACACACACACACACACACACACACACACACACACACACACACACACACACACACACACACACACACACACACACACACACACACACACACACACACACACACACACACACACACACACACACACACACACACACACACACACACACACACACACACACACACACACACACACACACACACACACACACACACACACACACACACACACACACACACACACACACACACACACACACACACACACACACACACACACACACACACACACACACACACACACACACACACACACACACACACACACACACACACACACACACACACACACACACACACACACACACACACACACACACACACACACACACACACACACACACACACACACACACACACACACACACACACACACACACACACACACACACACACACACACACACACACACACACACACACACACACACACACACACACACACACACACACACACACACACACACACACACACACACACACACACACACACACACACACACACACACACACACACACACACACACACACACACACACACACACACACACACACACACACACACACACACACACACACACACACACACACACACACACACACACACACACACACACACACACACACACACACACACACACACACACACACACACACACACACACACACACACACACACACACACACACACACACACACACACACACACACACACACACACACACACACACACACACACACACACACACACACACACACACACACACACACACACACACACACACACACACACACACACACACACACACACACACACACATTGACCTCAAGCAGAAGGCCGTGAATCAACATTAGTCATTTTCTACATGCACTTGTGTCATGTTTATTGTTAAATGCTATTATAACAACCATAGTCCATAAATTTGTTGAGCGAGAACATAGTTTAGCATAGCGGTTAAAACTTCTCAAGGAGAACACGGGTTTGAATTCTCTTTGATTGTCTGCCATCAATCAATTTGTAGTTTCTACTTTCTAACTTGTTAAATTTAAGTCGGTACATTTTTTGGTATAAATATAGAAATTGTAAGAGCAAAAATTTGTATCTTATAGTGTCTTTAAAAAATTGTATTTTATACATGTTTATACTATCAAACAAGATTGCAAGACTGGAAAGTGCATTCAACTACTCGACCCAGCGAAGGATAATAAGAAGCAGAAAGGGAACTTTTCTTGTGTTAGATGCATTGCTCTTGATGCAAGTGAAAGCTGGTTGGTAAGTATGCACTCGATGATCTGGATATTCCCTCTTTTTCTTGTATTGTCTATAATTGGTGTTTGCTTATAGATTTGAATATGGGTTTTTGCACCGCTGTTGTCTTATTTTATTGTTTGGCCTGTTTTCTATTCTTCATCATTCTTAATGAAAACATTTTTTCTTCTTGAAGGAAAATATTTTGATAATGGTTTTGTATTATAATGTTGTGTCTCCCGTTTTTTTTTTTTTTTTTTTAAAAACTTTGTTGTTTGGATCCACATTTAGATTCCAATTATTCTACCTTTTCAGATTTCCTTCAAAAGGAACGTCCTAATGACACAGTCCAATATCCCGTCGAACGAGACCATCTATCTGCTTAGCGATTCGATCTCATTTGTCTGTTGATTCTTGCTAGAGTAAACGCCTCCATGCCGACCTTCAAACCAGAGACCTTTTCGAGCAAATACTTCATTTTCAACAACTTGAAAAGCTTTTTCTCTTTAGCAACAATATAAAAGAGATTCAGCAAATGCAAGTGGCTTATATTTATTTTGTTTCTCCAGCTAACCTCTAAACTCACCAGTTGCAAATAACTAATAGAAAAGGAAGATAACTGACCTTACCTTTGCCTCTATTTTCTTATCCTTCCGTTGGTTTTCCATTCAAGAAGTAAATGTCAACTCACAAGCTACGTGCCTTTTATAAATCAATCTTCAACTGCCAGCCCTTAGAAATTCTCCATTCACCAACACTCCCAGACTCATTTTCTTAGACTGTAATAACTCTTTACATGTGGACTTTGGATATATTGTGTACACACTAGTTACCTAGCTAACTGGTCAGAAACCAAACAAATGAAATTTTCGTTGATACACAAATTAGGGATCCCATCCTGAAAAACTGCTTGGTTCAACTTTGAGCATGGCACTTGTAATAATGTTCCAACTTTTTTTATTTAAATTTCAGTTCTATACAAAATAGATGAAAAAACTTTTGTAGATGTAAGGTTGACTGACTATCTTTTTGCTGAGAATATATCTCTTGCTGTATTGATGGGTACAATGGAGTGATATTCATCTGCTGTATTTTATTTTAGGCCTGTGCTGATGGTCGGAGTTTTTCAGTTTGGAACCTTCCGGCTTCAGATTTCATTTCAAGAACTTTGACCCGTTCTTCAATGCAGGATATGGTTTTCTGTGATAATCAAGTGAGTGATTCTCCTTCTTGAACTGATAGTTTCTTTAATTGATTGGCAGTTCGTCCCTAGCCTGCAAGTTGATGTTGTTCAGAAGTTTATCCTCAGGATTTCATCTTTCATTAGATGATTAGACACGAGAAACATATATGGACTTCCAAGGTTCTAGAAATTAGGCCAGGAGTTTGGTATAATTTAATGTAACAGATAAGTTATTTGGTATAATTATTGTTGATATACAAGTTAAGAAATACGACAGGAGCATAACCAGGAGTTTCTAGAAATTAGGCCGTGAATATATCAAAGTCTGTCATCTTAATATCTCGTGTTAGATCAGATTTTCTGGCACCATTTTATGTTAATTGTTGCTTTTCCATGTGCAGATACTAGGCGTCGGAGCAGAACCATTACTAACTCGATTCGACATACATGGATCAATTCTCTCAGAAATACAATGTGCCCCTCAATCCGCTTTTTCTGTCGCTGTGCATCCATCTGGCGTATGTTCAACTGATAATTCCTTTTGTCCTTTGGTTTTCTGCCAGTCTTCTCTTTGGAACTTCTTCATTTCTCTCCATTATAGGAAGATTAGAGATTACCAATTCCTCTTAGTCAATTATTGGGTCTTGAAGCCATGGAATTTTTTTATACATATGTTTTCAAAAACTTGTTTTTGTTTAGGAAATTTGGCTAGTAATCCAAATGATTATCAAAATCTTGTTGTTCACTTTAGTTTTTATGCCTCTTATAATCTTATACCAATGAGCAACTTATTCAGTCATGCCACAATCTGTTCATATTTCATTCTTAAATCTTAGTGAATCACGCCATAACTGTATGTCGGTTCACATATCAGCATATCGGATGCATATCTTCCTTAGGCTTTCATCCAATCTTTGAATAGAACTCCTGTGGGGATAAATTGAATTCAAGCAACTTATAAAATGATATTGTGCTTCATTTCTCTATGCTTCTCTCACTCTTGGATGGTTTATTTGGCCATTCAGGTCGCAGCAGTTGGAGGCTATGGTGGTCTCGTGGACGTTATCTCACAGTTTGGAAGCCATTTATGTACATTCTGCTGTCAATACAGATGAATCTATATATATAATGCGTTGCTTCACCGCAGGAGTTGAGGATGTGTGGAAAATTTGGAGGTGCCTGTATTTGCTTCATGATTTCCCTGTCAAGGGGCTGCAATCCAGAAACTTTCTTCTTGTGGGATGTAGGTAATTAATCTCTAACTTCCATTATGAAGTTCTTGTCCTTGGTTATTTTTCAAGAAAGGTGCACCGTTAGCCGTTTATCAGTTTTGATATTTTTAGATTTGACAAAAATATTTGTACTCTTTGATTTGTTTTGTAACGTAATTGTTCCCGCACGAGGATTTTAGTCTAAGAGATGTTAGAAACGTGGAGTGTTCACAACTTCATAATTTTCAACAAAAAAAAGTCAGATATTTGAATTATCATTCTTATAAATGGTTGATTTTTTTTAATAGTCACTGATTATATGATAATTAGTATAAACATCGAAGATTTGAATAGAGATGACTGACAAATGGATTCTTTATTGGGTACGAAACAAGAAGTAAAACGATTGGAGGCGGAGATTCGCTCGATTCAAGATAACAATAAAGCAAACTGATTTGCTTTGATCTACGAAAAAGGTTGGTGGTTTGCTTTGATCTACGAAAAAGCTCGGTAAACCACCAACCCCAGATAATCGTTTGTGAGACAATGTGGTCATAGAAAATTCCTTATAGCTAAGGTATATAAATTGAATTGGTTTGTGGTACGAGCATGAAAATATAGTTTAATTGGTTATTATTAAAATCTACCGAGAACAAAAAAAAAAAAAAAACATTTTGAACAAAATTTAATTTTCATTCATTCAAAAAAAGATAATAATAATAAATTGGTAGGGTAACAAATGAACTTGTTCTTCTCAAAATATTTATTTGGGTTCAGAATCTTCCAATCAAAACCCTAAAAGGAAAAAATGGTTATGTATATATATCAAAGAAGACAAAACTGCGTAAAATTTGGGGACTTGGGAGTCTGGTCAACTATGAACTTTCGGCTCCTTGATGACCTTTAATTGGGGGAATCCGCTTCCAATTTCCCTCTAATCGCTACCAGACAATCGCTACCAGCCGTCGCAACCTCAAATCTCCACTGGCCACGGACGAGGGTTACGTTTCTTTTTCCTCCTTTGAGAAAAGTCATAAAAGGCGTTCGATTCGAGCTCCACTGTTGCAAAAGTTGCACATGAGGTAAATTTCGGGACTGGCCCTTGTGAGAGAGTTCCTCGAGTGTATCGTAGCTCAAATTCTCGGATCCTTTATCTTGATAATGGAGGATTTCAAATCCAACTCCTATGTGGATGGAAGAATGCAGATTGAGAACTACTATGGAAACGAATCAAGAGGAGGACCGAACGGTTCCGGCGGAATGGGTATGCAAGATTTTCGTTGTTACAGTGCGTCGTATGCTTCGTCTGCGAATCCAACTCAGATGGGGAATGATTTGAAGCTCAAGAAAGGGAAATCGACGAATGGATTCTCGTCGAAGAGCTGGAGTTTCAACGATCCGGAGATGCAGAGAAAGAGGAGGGTTGCTAGCTACAAGGTTTATACTGTGGAAGGCAAAGTCAAAGGGTCTTTTAGAAAGAGCTTCAGGTGGCTCAAGGAAAGATGCTCTCGAATGGTCTTTGGATGGTAACGATCGGCTTAAATTGGTACCAAGCTTTTTTTTTCCACTCTACGTTGTTTAATTAGCTATTAGTTCTGAAATCCAAGAATCTGTTTCTTGATGTTATTATGAATCTCTTTGAATGTGTAACTATTGTTGGAAGTACAGATTTTTTTTTCTTTTTTCCTTTCTTTTTTCTAATGAATTGGAGATCATGGCTTTATGAGTAGATATGGATTGTTTGTGTTTCCCTTGCTGAAACTTAATTCAGTTATAGAAGAGCCTTATAATAGACTCCATTCTTGGAAAGAACTGTTGCTTGTCTGCTTACAATAGGACTTGTCTTCTCTAATGTTTCAACTTGAGGATCTCTGGTTTTTTGTGCTTAAGAATTTACATCTTGAAGCTTCCATGATGGGTCTGATAGTAATTGTTATATGAAACAATTTGCTGTAAAGACATGCCTCTCTTTTGTTTTTGTTGTCATTCTCTTTCCTTTTCACTTGTATGTATGCCTTGGGTGTGTAAAAAATGAGAGGGGAAACAGTGCCTCATCTTCGTTAAGACTTACTAGCGCCTCGGATAATGTCAAACCCACTGCTAGCAGATATTGTCATCTTGGGCTTTTCCTTCTAGGTTTTCCCTCAAGGTTTTTAAAACGCGTTTGTTAGGGAGAGGTTTCCACTAAATAATATTTTGTTCCCCTCTCCAACCGACGTAGGATCTCACATACCTTCTCTGTGTAAAACTTGTTTGCTGAAGAATGATATCACTGCCCTTTTATTTGAGCTTTGGATCCCTTGCTGTGCTCCTCATCATTCACAAACTTGTTTATCATCTCCATGTCTTTAGCTCCAACCACTCCCTTTTAGTTGAGAAATTATTGGGGGAGTCTACCACAGTGTGGTTGTGAATTTGGCAAAAAGTATATGTATGAGAGATACTAAAAAAAAAAGTCTTCAAATTTGTATCTAGAGGTTACTCGAACGCATGCGAATTTTTGAATCTGCATCCAATTGTAGCAACTTCATTGAATAACTTTTCGTGTTAGTTGGTTGGTTATTTTGACACTTCATTACCATCAAATATACATTGAAGATAGTCCTTGTTCGGCCCAACTTTCAGGCACCTTGACTAATGTAACGCCATATAGCATGACCCAACAACATTAGACGTTGAATGGAAGGTAACTTTTTCGAGAGCATGCCTTAACTTAAAAGATATCAAAGAAAACTTATAAGATATGTGATATGTTGGTGGACATATAGACCATTTAGATTTCTTTATGAGCTCTTTAATTTGCCTCTTTTTTAGATTTGCTGTTTCCATGAGAACTTTATTTTCGTACGAATTAAGAATCTTATCTTTATTTTGAGAATATATCCTTGAGATCGCTGAGAACTAAAGCTCTTTTTCATGTTGCATCAATATTTTCTTCGTGTTTAAAGACTCCTTTTGTGTTCCAAACTTTCAGGCACCTCGACTAATCTAACGTCGTAGTAGCATGATCCAACAACATTAGAGGTAGAAAACTTATAGGACATTTAGATTTCTTTATGATCTCTTTAATTTGTCTCTTTTGCTGTTTACGTGAGAATTTTCTTTTCGTACGAAATTAAGAATCTTATCTTTATTTCGAGAATATATCTACGAGATCACTGAGAATTAAAGTCTCTTTTTGTGATTAAATTTGCTTCCTTTTCTGGATTTGCTCACAGCATCATGTTTTGCATCAATATTTTCTTCGTGTTTAGCTGTTCTTAGTGTTTTATTGCCCAGAATGACAAGAATAATCTTACTGTTTAGTCGCAGAAAGATTTATCTGCTGCCATACTTTTTCTATCAGTTTGAAGGGCAAATAAATTAAATTATCAATTTCTTATTATCTTTGTTAGACGAACACGACCCTCCACAATGGTATGATATTGACCACTTTGATCATAAGCTCTCATGTTTTTGTTTTGGGCTTCCCCAAAAGTCCTCACATCAATGGAGAGAGTATTCTTTGTTTATAAACCCATGATCATTCCCTAAATTAGCCGATGTGGGACTTTCATCATCTAACACCTCCCCTCGAACAAAGTGCGCCTCCCCTTAATCGAGGCTCGACTCCTTTGGAGTCTTAGTCATTTTTTACTGCCTTCGAGGAGGCTCGACTCCTCTTTCTTTTAGAGTCCTTTGTGTTTGATGATTTACCCATCTATTGGCACGACTAAGTTTAGGCATGACTCTGATACTATGTTAGACGAACATAACTCTCCATAATGGTATGATATTATCCACTTTTGAGCATTAAGCCCTCGTGACTTTGTTTTGGGCTTCCCCAAAATGTCTTGCACCAATAGAGAATATTCTTTGTTTATAAACATTATTTCCTAAATTAGCTGATGTGGACGTTCATCATGTAACAATCTAACCATCTTGATTGTTTAATTAGAAAAATTGCATAAAATACTGTTCTAAATTTGTGATATTTATATAATTTATTTTACAATGACTTGTCGTATATTGAGATAATTATGTAACCTAATATTACATAATTAAGTCACCATTGAATTAATAAATAAAACTTTAATGGTGACTTAATTTGATAATTTAACCTCTAATATTTTTTTCACAATCTTTTCATTTTTTATTTAGAAAAATCATATATAGGTTTAGTAATATAAGGTTTTTCGTTTTTCTTCAGTTTAATATGAGAAAGAAGTATTTAAACCTTTTAACTTTTATTGAACTAAAATAAAATTAAAAAATTATTAAATGCATTGTAAACGTGAATTTAAATAAATAAAAATTTCATAATTTCCTTTAAACTTTATTATTTATAAAAGAAGGATTGTTGCAATTAGCCCCTCTTTACAAAAATTGAAGAATATAAATTAAAAAAAAAAATTAAGTAAAAAAGAAAAACAAAGGAATCAAAAAATTGGGTTAAGCACTTCCACCTATTGTTGGGCCGAGCTAGAAAAACTATAACCAACCCCAATTTTGGGCTTAACTTGCTGCAGAGATTGGAGTTCTTGGGCTTGGGTGGCCCATTAAAGTCAGCCTTGGTGAGAGCCTAATCTTTGGGCTTGGACGTGGAGATGGAATGGGCCCATAATTAACCAACGGCCCAGAGCCCACTCGAGGCGACAAGTTCACATGTTCCAGTGCTCTCGTTTGTAGCTCGGCTGGGTAGTCCCGGACGCATCCAATCCTAGGTCCAGCTCCTGTCGACCATTTACACGACAACCGTTTCGACAGATTGAGTGATTTCACCACCACCGCCGTCGCTTCATCCGTCTTTTCCGCCACCGGCGGCACGGCGGCTTCCTTCCTCTTCTCTACTGAATCAACGGCAAGTGATGATTTGGCTTCATCCAATGGCGTAGATTTGAAGGAACCCTCGCGTGATTGCGGCTTCTGTTCTTCATCGATGGCTTTGTATTGACTGTCATCGTCAATCGCACACATCTGGGGGAAGGTAAGAAAACCAATGTAAGCACATTACAATTTTCTCTCAATTTGATATGAAATTAGTTCGATTGAATCGGAATTTTACCTTAACGTCGGTGAGATTCACGTCGTTTTCTTTAAGGAAACTGAGGAATTCTTGGAAATTAGCTTCTGTGGGATGATAATGACCACTGTACGGCCAAATCGCCTATAAAACAAAACATTATAAATCCCTATTTCAATTTAGAAGAAGAAATAAAGATGGGAAGCGGTGGATTCTGATTTGGGTACCTGAATGACGCCGTCGTGTGCCACTAATCTGCCGGCGGCGGTGGTGGCGGCGCCGGAGAGGAAACTAGAATGCTGAAATAACCCTTTCTTCTTTTGGCCAACGTATAGAGATCTGGTAGTGCTCAAAACAAATATCCACTTAGAGCCTTCTTGAGTTTCCACTATGGATCCACTCTGCTTGTAAACCAGTCTCCCATTTTGCACAACTACTTCGTAGGCTTCTCTTTCTTTCTGAGAATCAAATTAAGATTGAAAGCCTTGTTAGAAGAAGCAAAATCAAATGGAACTGTGATGGTGGTGGAGAAAGAACACTTACTGGGCCTAAATATTTGATGCATTGCTTTTGCAGAGTCGTTCTTGGGCACTTCTCCAGGCTTAATTCCTTGCCGTCTCCGATATCCAGCCTGCGTTTATGAAGATTTGAGGTAATTTTAGACATGGGTTTGCAATTTGAAGTGGGTGTTCTTCAATTTTCTGAGTACTCAAACTTAGGTTACCAGTAAAAGAAGGGCTGATTGCTCTCGCTCACGAACCATACGTCGTAGTATACGTGTAGATTGTGGCCATAGCGATGACGGGTATCAATCTGTAACGAAATCCAAGCCCATTTGAGTTTTGAATCTTTAAGCTAAAATGCAATGAAAAGCAGAGCTTTGAGGTTAGAATTTATGAGCTTACAGCTTCAAGCCAGTGCTGAAGAGCAAGTTTTTGAGCCTTTTCGTCCTTGCTCAAACCCTTCCCCACCTTGGCTGCTCTGGTTCTGGCTCTAGCCCACCGCGAGACGGCGGTTTCCGGCTTCTCAATGTTATAAAACGAAACAGAGCTTCGTTCCAAATTGGCAAAATCAATCGCCTTCCACCATAATTCTTCCACAACCACCGCACAATCCGCAAGGTTTCTTCTTGTTCTGTAACTTTTGTAAACCTTCTGCAGCTTCACTGCTGCGGCGTCCAGCTCGCTCACCGGTCTGGGAGAGTACATAATCGCCGGCTCCGGCAGAGGAACTGCTGGAGTCGTCGCCGCCGCCTTTACCCCCTGCAATCCGCCATTTTTCCCGGAGGAAACAGAGAAACTGAATCCTCCGTCCTCAACCAGCGATTTAAAGGAAAGATTCGTTTCAAGAATCACTCTTTCTGGTTTATTCCCTTTCAGACTGTTGGGTTTGCTTCTCGTTGCTCTGTTTGTGATGGGTTCTTGATCAGTAATTTTAAAGCTGTTAGATTTCAAAGCCAGGGATCTTTCTCCATTAGAGAAACTCTGAGCTTTGCAGAGGATTACAAGCCCCTGATCTATAATTCCCTTCCAGAATGACATGAGGAGGGACAGGGATAACCCCATGAATCAAAACCCAGAAGTTCAATCGATCAAAATCGAAACAGGGTAGGTTTTTTCTTGAAGGTGATTATGGAACAAGATGGAATTATGAATCGAAATGGGTTCTTGAGCTCTGTTTTTATAGTGCACGAAAAACAGAGCAAGAACTGAAGCTTTGAAAAATTGAATGGCGTGTCAAAAACAAGGAAGGTAAAATCAAAACCACGAGTTTGATTTTATTTGATTCATTCAAAGTTCAAACCTTTTTAAGCTTTGAATCTTTTTGTTCTTTGATCTTTTATTTTTTGATTCAAAGAAGCTTAAAAGCCTTCTTTATAATTATTTTACAAACTATAGGTTTTATTAAATTTTATTAATTTTATTATCATATGGTTTAAAAATTTAAATTTCAATCTCGATTCTATATATAATTTTTCATTTATTCGAAAGGCTAATTTAATGTTTTCATAATTTCACGTGTCAATAAGTACGTGGTTAAGTTCTAATCTTAATTTATATACATTTCACTTATATAATTTAAATATATCTCATTAATTAAAATAAATTAGTGACTATTTAATGTCAAGTGTAGTAAATAATTGGTTAAGTGTATTAAATAATTGGTTAGTTGTGGTATGTGGTCGTTTTCTCTTTTTAATATTCTTGTAATAAATATTTAATAATTACAAAGACAGCACAAATTAAATTATTCTACTTGATATTATTTTTATGACCAAAAACTCATTAAAAAATATTTGACTTTCAACTAGAACAGGGGCATAAAATATTCAACTTATTGATATTATCCATTTTAAATTATGAATACGTCGAATTCCTATAATACAAAATTACGATAATATTTTTAAAAAAATAAAGACTTAAATAGGTTAAATTATAAATTTAGTTTAAGATATATTTAGGTTTTTTTTTCGTTTATGAAACTATTAAAAAATTAAAATTTTGAAATTGGATGAAATAAACTTGGATCACGTGTATGAGTCATGTGAATTCAAGAAAGTTGTCTAATAAACAGTGACATCTTTTTTTCTAAAGTTAAAGTCACGTACTTTTTAATAAATTTAAAAATTAAGACAACTTTTGAAGTTTATGGTGTTGTGTTGGATGATGAAAGTCCCACATGGACTAACTTAAGGAATCATCATACGTTTATAAACAAAAAATACTCTCTTCGTTAATATGAGATTTCTTGGAGAAGGTCAAGCTCAAAGTGGACAATATCATATCATTGCAGAGAGTCTAACATATTAAATTTAATTTTTTATTACACTCGATAATAGAAGATTATATTAGCTCCACGTGTGTTTTGAATTGAAAATAAAAAAGAAAATAAATAAAGAATAAA